AGTTTAATTTTGGACCCCGATTTGGACCAACTTGAAAACTGGGCCCATAATCAAAAATCTAAATACATGTTTAGATTCAGCATATCAAAGAACCCTAAGAATTCAATTTTTGTTAAAATCAAACTAAGTTTAATTTTGGACCCTTTGGACCTTAATGTAGACCAATTTGAAAACGGAACCAAAAATTTAGAATCTAAATACACGGTTAGATTCGGCATATCAAAGAACTCCAATAATTCAATTTTTGATGAAATCAAACAAAGTTTAATTTTGGACCCTTTTGACCTCAATGTGGACAAAGTTGATAACGGGGCCCAAAAATCAAAAATCTAAATACATGGTTAGATTCAGCATATCAAAGAACCCCATATATTCAATTTTTGTTGAAATCAAACAAAGTTTAATTTTGGACCCCGATTTGGACCAACTTGAAAACTGGGCCCATAATCAAAAGTCTAAATACATGTTTAGATTCAGCATATCAAAGAACCCTAAGAATTCAATTTTTGTTAAAATCAAACTAAGTTTAATTTTGGACCCTTTGGACCTTAATGTAGACCAATTTGAAAACCGAACCAAAATTTAAGAATCTAAATACACAGTTAGATTCGGCATATCAAAGAACCACAATAATTCAATTTTTGATGAAATCAAACAAAGTTTAATTTTGGACCCTTTGGACCTCAATGTGGACCAATTTAAAAACGGGGCCCAAAATCCAAAAACTAAATACACGGTTAGATTCAGCATATTAAAGAACCCCATGAAATCAAGAATAAAACCCCATTGAAATTGGTCAAGAAATAAGCAATTTATAGGAAGTATCTTCTTTTGCACAATCCTGTGCTATTAAATATTTCTTGCTATTGCGCAATACTGTACAATTGACAATTTCTTGCTATTGCGCAATATTGTGCTATTGGATATTTCTTGCTATTGCACAATACTGTGCAATTGAAGATTTCTTGCTATTGCGCAATACTGTGCAATTGAAGATTTCTTGCTATTGTGCAATACTGTGCAATTGAAAATTTCTTGCTATTGCACAATACTTATAATATAATAATTTACACATCCTGTTTGGTGTGTATCTCCTACCATATCATTATTATTTGATTTTAAATATAAATCAGAAATAACCAACTTAAAATGGAAAATTTTAAAAGAAACAAAAAAGGAAAAAAAGATAAAAAGGAAAAAAAAATAAATCCCCCCCCAAAATTTTTTGAACCCCCATTATGATTCATCACCCCCAAACTCAATCCCAGCCTTCCCTTTGTGGTATGGTACCTTGCAGTACAATTTCAGAGAGATCCATACACTTGAACACAAGTTATTGTCTGGAAACTAGAAAAAAATGTGTTTTTTGGCCCCTTTTTGGCCCCAAATTCCTAAACGTTTAGGGCAATTACCCCCAAACTCAAACCCAGCTTTCCCTTTGTGATATGGAACCTTGTAGTACAATTTCAGAAAGATCCATACACTTACACACAAGTTATTGTCATGAAACTAGAAAAATGCTTGTTTTTTGCCCCTTTTTTGGCCCCTAATTCCTAAAATTTTGAGGCAATTACCCCCAAAATCAATCCCAGCATTCCTTTAGTGATATGGAACCTTGTGGTACAATGTCAGAGAGATCCATACACTAACACACAAGTTATGTCTGGAAGTTACAAAAATGCTTATTTTTGGCCCCTTTTTGGCCCCTAATTCCTTTACTGTTATTACCATAACCCCCAAAATCAATCCCAACCTTCCTTTTGTGGTATTGAACCTTGTGGTAAAATTTCATAAAGATCCATTTACTTAAACTAAAGTTAGAGTGCGAAAACCAATGTGTCTTCGGACGACGCCGGACGACGACGACGACGACGACGCCGGACGACGACGACGCCAACGTCATACCAATATACGACCACAAAAATTTTTTTGCGGTCGTATAAAAAGTCCAGTAATCTAATTTGCCTTCATTTCTTTGACAGAACTTCAAATGAACAGACTTCATGGACAAACAAAATTACTGGCCAGCATCGACAATATTGCTCTCCTTTAATTAATTTTTGCTAAAAATATTTGTACTTAATAATTACAGGTTTCTGAGGGCCATTCAACAAGATATTATCAGTCCCTTTTAGCTTCCCCTGACTTTTTGCAAGTTTAAAAGGGTATAATTGATGACTTTACCGAAAGCGAATCAATATTTCACTTTACAATAAAAGATTTTAAGTCCCATATATTTATAATGTATGTCTTTTTAAAAGCCTTTAAAACCTAAAGTCATTGTATTGGAATATTTGCTTTTATAAACTGGGAACAAACAGTTCACAGTTAAGTGAGAATGAATCTTTAACTCCTAAATCAAACTTAAACTGTATAACAAGCCGATACAAATATTTGTAAACGTCTCAGTTAAATAGTCAACAAAACATTGTTTAGAAAAATAATTGAGTTGAAAATATGGTTATAATAAATTAATTTCCTTAAAAATATTTATATCTGTAGACCAAAGATGAAAGACTTCATTTTTCAAGTTTCAGGCCAAACATAATTGATTTTTTGTTCTAAAGGTTTCTGCAAGAAAAAAATGTTTTTTAGGCAAATCTTCATGAAACAACTTTTTTTTTTCGTAAACTTGAATTCTAAGTTTCTCCAAAAATTTTATTTCAGAAGTAAGTGACTAAATATCATGCAGAAATTCACACTATTAAAAAAGATTTTCAATTTTGACTTTAAAAAATGTCTTCACTTCTGACATAATACGAACAAGTATCTTCTTTTTAATTCTCCTGTTTGTAGAAAAATAAAGATATCAGCTTCCCAAAAATGTGTAAAGTTTCATACTCAGTTTTACATTTCCTGTTTGCACAATATAAAGAGGTCGAGGTTCATACTCAGGAATAAGAGCAAGGGATCAAATTTAGGAACGTCTGCAAGGGATCATGAGATTCATATACAACTGAGATGAGTTTTATTCAGGAAAATCTGTTGCAATAAAAAATTCTTTAAACCTAATCTGTACAAAAACTGATACAGGGAAATCCAAAGAACAAAAATTAATTATTTATGGCCTTCAGAGTCAATTTTTGTCAATATAATTATGTGTTATTCATGCTGTTACCACACAAAACATGTCATGAATCAATGTAAGCGCTACACTTCTTCTAGCTCAACATCATCTCTATAACAACAATGAAGATAGGGGGAAACATCCACTGGGATGATATACAATCATGATAGGTTATTCAATATGTCTCTATATATTGCACAAAAAATCCACTGGAATGATACACAATCAGGATCAGTTACTCCCTATGTTTTCATGTATTGCACATTCTATGATAGTGGTGTGAAAATGTACAAAAAGTCACTTTGACAACTTAATTGCATTACAACTGTTATTTATTTGCAAATTTTGTTTTTTAAATGTCACCCAGAACTATATTATCAATGATGTATACACCAAATACAGTTGTCCTTGAATCATGTAAACACCAAAAAATAAACAGCTGCGCTACGAGCGCATGATACGCCCGTCGCTTTTTCAAAGAATAAAGTTCAATAACTTCTCAATGTCATATCAGAAATTCATGAAAAACTAAAGGGAGGTTATCTTAATAGATATAAACCAGTCAACAAAGTTTCATAAAAACTGCTCAAAGCACTTTAAAGATATTGTCCGAAAACTGGAAAATCACCCCTTTTTTATGAATAAAATCCCATAACTCTGAAATGTGATATCTAAAATTTATACATTGAATGATCGGAGAAAGACTTGATTATTCAGATGGTATTTTAATAATGACTAAGAAATATACAATTGGTATCGCTGTAGCGACGTAACGTAATAAGTTAATAAGGTTTGTGCGTAACGTTCCCGGAATATTCAGATATTACATTCCTCCTTAACTTTGAATTAGAAAATAACTATATAATTGTAAATTAATAATGTGTAAAATAAAGATTGTATATATGAGTTAAATTATCACAGTCTCTGAAATGTTCACTTATGTTTTTGTAATAAAAGTGTTATGTTCACTTATGAATGTTTTAATAAACATAAAAATTGAAAAGGAGCTTACGTCAATAGATATAAACAATTCACCAAAGTTTCATGAAAACTGCTAAAAGCATTTTTGAGTTATTGTCCGAAAACTGGAAAATAACATATAAAATAAAGAGCTGCGCCATGAGCGCATGATACGCCCATTGCTTTTTCAACGAATACAGTTCCATTACTCCTCAATGTCATATCAAAAATTTATAAAAAACTAAAGGGAGTTTATTTTAATAGATATAAACCAGTCACCAAAGTTTCATGAAAACTGCTCTAAGCTTTTTGAGTACTGTCCAAAAACTGGAAAATCCCCCCTTTTTTATGAAAAAAATCCCATAACTTGGAAATGTAAAATCTAAAATTTATAAAAATTGACAGGGGACGTACATCAATGGATATCAACAATTCACCAAAGTTTCATGCAAATTGGTTCAAGTGTTATATAGTTATTGTCCAACATGTTGACGACCGATGGACAGACATACGTAGACGGGTGTATAAAAATGTACTTGTTAAAATGAGGTATGAGGATAAACTTATGATTGTGTGCTGACGATATGTTCTATACACTGTGCATTTATTTCATATTCTAAATCTGTCATATCTCAGCAATTATGAGAGGTAAATATATGATTTTGTTTGAATTTTCAGTTCGATTTCAACCTGACAAAGATTCATCGAAAATCTTCTAAACATCAATGACATAGCTGACTTACTGTTCTATGACCATTACAAACAGCAAGGCATATCTTGTTACTGTAAAGGCAGTCTGAAATAATCAGCATATCTTGTCTCTGAAAAGGGACTCTGAAATAATCAGCAAATCTCGTCTCTGAAAAGGGAGTCTGATATAATCAGCAAATCTTGTCTCTGAAAAGGGACTCTGAAATGAAATATTGATGATCTACAGAATCATCCCTTTCAGCAGCATCTTAGATAAACTTACCGTTTCTTTATGTGGCAGTAGCTCTTTTCTAATCTTGAAGAAGTTTTTACCATATTGTCGAAGACCTTTCACAAATCGTTTCTGTAGGAAAAAAATGTAATTATGAGCTGCATGTGATATCACTGACAATGGCTGATGAAAAATGATTTAATTTTGGAATAATGTTCATTAAAATCAAGAACTATATAAACAAATGTATATCCTTAATTAGGGTTATCTCCCTTCTTTAATTGGTTCTCCCCCTTGTCATCCATGTAATTTATGCAAAATAAGGTGTGTTTCCATGGTGATATCTACATTTAGTTCTGTCTGCCATTCACAGATAAAAGTAAACAAATTGTTATATAGTCGACTCAACTTAATCGCATACCATTAAGGCATTTGATTACATATTTCGATTAACTGCCTAATTTTCTCTTGCATAAAACCATTTCCTTTTTATGTACCGGTAGTAGAATGACCAACATAAGAAATTTAAAATGCCTAAAATTTGACTCGAACAATTCTGCTACCTCAAAACACATTCATAACACGTTTGTGTTTATATTCAGTATTTCTTTTTGTTTCAGATACTTTAACCTTGGATACTTGGTCCCTTAGCTGACAATGCCCATCACTGAAATTTATTCATCATCGAAGTCAATCATCTCTCAGATATTTGGTCCTTACTGATGATGCCCTTCATTGATATCTATCATCAATCAATCGATATCATCCCTTGGACTCTAGGCCCTGACTAATATTAGTTGTTTATTACGTAAAGCACTATGGATTTTACCATGTACTGCTGTCTCTGTAAAACACCTATCTAATCCAATCAAGAAACTAATTTGAGAAATTTGTAAATTCACCCAGCGCTTTCAATATTTACACATTGTAATCAAAAGCCTTTATGCTACAATTCATTACTCATTAATTTTATAGCATTGCTTACACAGACGTTAAAGAAAATGGCTGCCTACTAAACCAGTTATTTCTACTGCTAAATTAATAATATACCATTTCAAATGCTTATTAGCTTAAAAAGTAACAACAAGCTGACAAACTAAAGTCTGTCAAGATAATTCAGTAGCGACATTTTTTTATACATTAATTGTATTTCTATGTAGCCATTGGCAAACTATGAATGCATCTGGGAAAATTTAGATGTAAAAACTAAATTATGTCAATAAGGCAGCAGCAAACCAACAAGTTGAACAAACACACAAAAAACATTTGGTATAACATAAACAATAAACAAAAATTTCAGTACAATTTTAAAAGTGAAAACTGATTTTTTTTTTACCTTGGCCTTCACTTTTTCATTTCAAATGTCTTATGAAATATTCATCACAACTGTGGTTAATTATGCATCAACATGAGGTAAAACGCTTTTTTGTCAAACAAACCAAAAGATCATTTTTTTCTTCTTGACTTAAATGTTACATATCATGGACACATTTACAAATATCTAGCTAAGAATTTCGTTGTGGACTGTAGTTATTCATCCACTGATTTGTCAAATATCCAAAATAATTTTTGTGGCGTTTCAATTTAATTTTTTTACTCAGTTTCAAAGTGACATACACATTTTTTTGTCTTTTGGCCCATTTTCTACTTACAACTGATAAAATATTTCGCACTTACAACTGTGTAATAAAAAATTGACAACTACAGTTGATAAATTATACACCAACTTTTGATCAAATTACCAAAATATGACATTCTATTCACTTAGCCTAAGTTTTCTCTGAAAACTGACACGTCTGCATCCTTTGTGTGTAAGTCTAATCAAATATTCATAACAAATATAGTGACATGCTCAGTATGTTATACATTACATCAAGGATATTAATGGTTTTACAATTCGTTAGGCAAATAAATAACCATGTATTATTCAACAGTCATCTATAAAAACTTCAAATATTAAGTTTATATTTGTCCTGAAATTATCCATTATGTTTAATATTGAAATGGTTATGAGTAAAGTCGATTATCTAATGTGGTATTTGGGAAATAACAATTTTAAACAAATTTATTATCCTAAATTCCATATTTGAGCTGTTTTTCTTTTGTATTGACTATACTGTAAACGTTTAATGTGCTTTTATCATTGTACTAATTTTGCCCATAAAGGGTCCTCTATTGGAAATTAAATTTATCTTAACTTATGATGATTTATCTTAAATGCAATCAAAGAAAGTGTCCTGTTTAATTTGATTAGGGGTCTCACTGAGGGTCTTTTCACTGTCCCTACAATATTGCACAGTATTTCTTTTAGATTTCCTGATATAGTTTATGGTTTGGTGATATTACCTCACAGCTGTTTTCTTGAATCAGATGAAGTTCGATCGACACCAGGCAGAAAAATCTACTCAAATGGATACTAGGGACAGTCATGAACTTAAAGTACTGTGGATTCTCTAATATTCGTTGGAAACCAAATATCATAAAGTTAAATCACGAATTCAAATGTTCAACAAAATACAAATTTTTCATAGGCTTGTAAGCAGTTATCTACAAAACCTCGAAATCCAATATCCATGGAAATACTAGTTTTCCTCAATCCACGGAAATTGGCATCCAATGAAAATAAACGAATCCACAGTAAGGTGTGACAATTTGCTCAGTTTTAAATGTGTCAGTGTAATTTTGAGACGAAAAACAGCCACAAAAGCTGGCTGTTTTCTGCTCTTTGGTTGGGTTGATGTCTCTTTGATACATCCCCCATTTCCATTCTCATTTTTATCCTTTGCTTTTGGAATGTAGTGATTTTATGTGATGAATTGATACTCTCTCTTATTATCTTCAATTGATTTGACTGATTTTTGGTGTTTTAACGCCACTTTTAAGCACCGCTTTTGGGCTATTTAGTGGCGGCCAGTTTTTATTGGTGGAGGAAGCCAGAGTGCCCGGAGAAAACCACTGACCTTCGATAGGAAAACTGACAATCCTAGTCAATTAAGATTGGGGTCGAGTGCACCCGCACGTGCGGGGTTCGAACTCACAACCTCAGTGTTAACTACAGTAGTAACTACTTAGACCACTCGGCCACCGAGGCCCCTTTATCTTCAATTGAAAAACCTGCATTAATTGTTGAACCATTTCAATCAAGTCAAAGTGGAAAACTAAGAGTGAATAACAAAACCATGAAAGTAAATAAGTTTAACATTTGTATTTAAATATCTGAAGCTGTTCATGAAGTCTTTTAATTGTGTTTGAAAAAATACAAAAAATATTCCTTTCAAAAAAGTTAAAGAGAAAAAATACAAGAGTGCACACGCTGAAATGTCTCGCCTTCTTTACTAATCATTGATATTATGTTGATAGTCCTAAATATAAAGCTTTATTACAACTGTCAAATAAACTTAACATTAACCAAGTAAACTAAACATTGACCAATGAACCATGAAAATGAGGTCAAGGTCAGATGAACCATGCTAGGCAGGCATGTACAGCTAACAATTCTTCCATACAACAAATAGAGTTGACCTATTGCTTATAGTTTAAGAAAAACAGACCAAAACACAAAAACTTAACACTGAGCAATGAACCTTGAAAATGAGGTCAAGGTCAAATAAAACCTGCGTGACTGCCAAATAGATCATAAAATATTTCCATACACCAAATATAGTTGAACTATTGCATACAGTATAAGAAAAACAGACCAAAACACAAAAACTTAACTATAACCACTGAACCATGAAAATGAGGTCAAGGTCAGAAGACACCTGCCAGTTGGACATGTACACCTTACAGTCCTTCCATACACCGAATATACTAGACCTATTGCTTATAGTATCTGAGATATGGACTTGACCACCAAAACTTAACCTTGTTCATTGATCCATGAAATGAGGTCAAGGTCAAGTGAAAACTGTCTGACGGGCATGAGGACCTTGCAAGGTACGCACATACCAAATATAGTTGAACTATTGCACATAGTATTAGAAAAAAAGACCAAAACTCAAAAACTTAACTTTGACCACTGAACCATGAAAATGAGGTCAAGGTCAGATGACACCTGCCCGCTAGACATGTACACCTGACAATCATTCCATACACCAAATATAGTAGACCTATGGCATACAGTATAAGAAAAACAGACCAAAACACAAAAACTTAACTATAACCACTGAACCATGAAAATGAGGTCAAGGTCAGATGACACCTGCCAGTTGGACATGTACACCTTACAGTCCTTCCATACACCGAATATACTAGACCTATTGCTTATAGTATCTGAGATATGGACTTGACCACCAAAACTTAACCTTGTTCATTGATCCATGAAATGAGGTCGAGGTCAAGTGAAAACTGTCTGACGGGCATGAGGACCTTGCAAGGTACGCACATACCAAATATAGTTGAACTATTGCACATAGTATTAGAAAAAAAGACCAAAACTCAAAAACTTAACTTTGACCACTGAACCATGAAAATGAGGTCAAGGTCAAATGACACCTGCCCGCTAGACATGTACACCTTACAATCATTCCATACACCAAATATAGTAGACCTATGGCATACAGTATAAGAAAAACAGACCAAAACACAAAAACTTAACTATAACCACTGAACCATGAAAATGAGGTCAAGGTCAGATGACACCTGCCAGTTGGACATGTACACCTTACAGTCCTTCCATACACCGAATATACTAGACCTATTGCTTATAGTATCTGAGATATGGACTTGACCACCAAAACTTAACCTTGTTCACTGATCCATGAAATGAGGTCGAGGTTAAGTGAAAACTGTCTGACGGGCATGAGGACCTTGCAAGGTACGCACATACCAAATATAGTTATCCTATTACTTATAATAAGAGAGAATCTAACATTACAAAAAATCTTAACTTTTTTTTCAAGTAGTCACTGAACCATGAAAATGAGGTCAAGGACATTGGACATGTGACTGACGGAAACTTCGTAACATGAGGCATCCATATACAAAGTATGAAGCATCCAGACCTTCCACCTTCTAAAATATAAAGCTTTTAAGAAGTTAGCTAACGCCGCCGCCGCCGCCGCCGCCGCCGGATCACTATCCCTATGTCGAGCTTTCTGCGACAAAAGTCGCAGGCTCGACAAAAATTAGATGTTTTGTATTAAGCTTAGCATGTAACATGTAGAGCTTCAGCGTATTCAATTATTTTTGAATTATGCAACAGGATGGCAAATCATATTGTGCTTCTTAACCTCAAGAAATCATTTTACGATTCAGTGCAATGAATGCATATCAAAAATGTGTTTTTGAGAATAAATTCAATGGTTTAATATGATTAATTGTACAGCAAATTTATTTATTTCCTTAAAAGATTACTGCTGCATATTAAAACCAATACTTGAAAAGAAAAAAAAACTTTTATAAAAACATTCACTATTCATTTGTTAGTAAAAAGTATCTGTAATCCAAATCTGATTTCAACTTTAAACACAAAAGGATTTTCATGTTTATTTTCAAATATCATTGCATTTGTAAACAGTTGTGACAAAAACACAAAAATAGGCTAAAAATAAATTCACTCTGAATTTAAAAAATGTCATGTATGCATTTATTTTCAAATTAACAAAATTTCATGGCAATTGGAATGATACCAAACATTACCACTATTTTAAGTTTGTTATGAAGACAATCTTGAAGGTCAATGAACTATATTCACCATTCATATGTGAAACAAATTCTAAATTTAAAAAAAATTGTTTTTAAGTTCAATACATATAAAATGTGTTTCAATTATCACATAATTTGTTATACAAAACATCAAAAGTCTTAATGAAGACAAAAATTAAATATGTATTGATCCTTCATTTTCAAGTATGTGTGACTTAAATTTCAAAAGTTAAATTTAATTATAAACACAAAACCTTAAATATTTATGTGTTTGAATAACGACAGCATTTGTTTTACCAAACATTGTAGGTCTGTGATGAAGACTTCACAAAGTCTGCCTAACAACACAAGCAAATGGGTAAATATTTTTACAATTAAGTTACATTATCAAATTGAATACTGGCAAACTGAGATGAAAAATATGTAAATTTGTGTCTACTGTCCTACTGGAAGATACATTAGTAGCAATAAGTGGATTTTAAGAAGTTAACGTGGTGTCAATGTTGCGATAAATTTATCATTTGTTTGTGATGTTTGACTAAACCTATATACATTGAAAAAGAATTGATAATATTTAAAGGACAATATTAATGAATAAATTTTTGGACCTCATCAATGTGTATTGACTGAGGACAAAGAATGAGGTCAATATGTGTTCATTTTATATATCAACTAGTCTTTTAAGTAACACTCATTAAACAGAAGAAATATGAAATTACATGTTATTATGTCATGGACTAAGAACTGAGACTACCATGGGTCACTAACAACTAATCCCTTGCATCTTTTCCTGGAAAACTGCACAAGTATCATACAACTCCAGAATCACTGACTATTTTTCGATTTGCTTTCATATTTACATTGGTGGGGAATCACTTTTCAACTACAACAACTTATTATTTATATTGACAAGCACTTAAAATCCAAGCCAGAGGTCAGTGTTTGAAGGGTACTCTTAAATAATGACAATTTACAAGGATGGAATCATAACACACATTATTAAAGTTGCTGAATTCCAGTAAAAATTAAAATTAAGAGTGATCTTAAATTATTAATTGTGAGAGAATATCTTTTGAAAATGAAGTATACTGTAAATTCAGAAATTATTGCCAGCATTAATTATTGCAATGTTGACATGACCAACCAAAATTTGAGATTAATTATTGCGATTTCAGAAAAACTGCATACAGATATATTCATCAGATATCAGAATGGGAGTTCTTATCATTGCCATACTCACCTAGTCAGATTATTAGCATGAATAAAAACCTTGCAATAATTTCTGAATTTACAGTCATTAGTGGGAAAATAATTTAGAGTAGGTCATAGGTCATAGTTGCTGTTTCCTCCCCTCCCTCCACCTCAACTAAAGTGTTAAAAGGCTGTTTCATTTTATTTATCATCTGTTTCCACATTTATTTATTTTGTAAGTGCCAAAACACAATACTGAATGCTATTTATTCTGAACCTGATCATTATCGGAACAGAAATCACAAAGTAATCAGTATATAAGTATGATGGATGAGTTACTAAATAGCTTTCCCAGAAACCCCGTTAACAGCTTTTTCAATAACACCAATCTATTACATCAAATAAACTGCCAATCGTTACAGCGGATGATGAGTGATTGAACGGTAATTGCTTATAACCAGCAAAAAGAAACACGATATGTTACTGTCAGGGTGCTTCTAACAACCAATATCCTACAACGATAAGACGCAGGAGATATGTCCACACCGTTCCATGTCTCCGTAATAATTGTATCAGAGCAAAATACCAAGTATTGATTTTTTTTCACTAAATCGGAAAATAACAATTGGGTTATTACCACTGAATTTTGCCGAGATGATCCAAAGAGCTGCAATTTCAGTCGATGTTTGAAATCACTATACCAAAGCCGTAGTGATGTATGAATCTGATTATCATCAGGAAAGACAATAACTGTATATTTGATAGTTTTACAGAGCAATCTATAATCAATATGCTATTTGAGGCTTGAATCAGGATAAAAGTCTAGATGGAGAGATATTTGATGTAAATAACAAATAAAGGCAATCAATAGCTCAAAACTTAGGCAGATATTTTATACAATTAAATCCTGTCATAGATTTTTGGACTTCATAAATCAAGATCTATATCTACTGAGGATGAAGTTTGAGGTCATTATTAAGCAATGCACACAATTTTGGAAATTATATTTATTGACTATAGATTGGATAACAATTAAGTGTTATACAAAACAATTGATTGACGTTAACAATAGTATGACGTTAACAAATACAAGGGAGACTACTAATGTCAATTAAAAAATTGAGTAAAGTCTTTAAAATGTTATTTAAGTAAAAAATGAAATATTATTTATCATTTAATCCCTGGTTGAGAATGTTTATGAATAACTCTTCTTTCTTCTTCCGGAGAAAATCATTTTGACGATTCACCACATACACAATGGAAATATCTTAAATCGTCCATTAGAACAACGATGAAAATGGTCGTTAGACCGGATGATTGTTTAATCTTCATGGTTGGTTTGCTGCCTATGAACAGTCATTCTAGTACGCAGTTCATTTTTTGTCTCTCCAATATAGAATTCCTCACAATTTGAACATATGAGAGAATAAATGACGTTTGAACGGTTACAAGACATGTATATATATATATATATATATAAACAAGTCTAAATTTAAAACAATGTTCAAACCTATGATTGCGTTGGATAAAAACAGCAATTTTCATACGTGTGCATGCAAAACAAATTTCTTGTTAGAGGGGTCTAAATACAGCACAAACAACATTTTCCAAAAGACCAAAAAAGTGAAAAAGTATATTTTAACAAATCGCATTTGACTAACAGGTTGAACAACAAATGTTCTTAAACCCTGCTGACTGCCATTGGCGATTGCCAAATAAACGGATCACTGATGTAACAAATGGATCTTAATTTTAAATTTAATACTAAATATATATATATATAGCATAGCATAGGCCTCCATATATATTTATATATTAATGTATCTTTAAGAAATTTGTTTAATTATAGTTTATATATATGATAAAAATGAGAATGGAAATGGGGAATATGTCAGAGACAACACGACCAAAGAGCAGAAAACAGCCGAAGGCCACCGATGGGTCTTCAACACAGCGAGAAAATCCCGCACCCAGAGGCGAGCCAATTTAGATATAACTAGACCTAATAAATGCTTACTAACCTTAGCCAGTTATTCACAACATATCAATATATAAAGTGTGGAAAATAGTTTAACAATATAATCAATATATAAATACATTAGAAAAAGAAAGAAATTTGAAAATTTTTTAAATTATATATAAAACTAAGTTCTTTCTAAAACACATATAGATGGTACTTTCTGATCAATTCAGAAAAAAATTATGACACCATGGAAAACACCATAACTGATGTGCCTTTCATTGTTTTTTATAAAATAGTTCTTACCGAGTCTTCATCTGTCCACTTCTTTTCAATGCTACGAAGGGCTGGAGACTTGACCAGAGCTTGCAGAGCTTTTCCTGTGTCATAGCTGTGATTATGTAACTGTAAATATCAAACAATTTGTATATTACATTGCAGCCTACAGATTGATAATATTGTTGTGGTGTGAATATCAATCAAACAGCAACACAACAACCCTAGCAAACTAAAGAATAAAAAATTTGTTCATTAATACTAATAACAATTTGCTGCCCATAACAAATAAGTAGAGGCTTCCGCTGCCTGAATTGCATTGTCTGGCATTTTAATCGTTAATCATTATATTTCGCTAATTTTCCTTGAAGCAGGATAAAATAACACTCACTGTGTCCATAGCATTAATGGTGGTCTCGTCCATAGAGGCTGCCTGGCAACCATCATCTGTTGAGCCTCCATCACACATCCCTGTAAATGCTGCCACACTTCTGTAATTATAAATTAACAACTGTTGACATGGTTATAATTAACAACTGTTAACATGGAGGCAATGACAACTAACAACTGTTAACAAGAAGGCAATGACAATTAACAACAGTTAACAAGGAGGCAATGACAATTAACAACTGTTAACAAGGATCCTTAAAACAAAACATTTCACAAGAGCTCATTATATTTGACATGTAAACTTGATATCATCACTGTTTCAAAATCTTGTGCATACTGGGTAATATTTTCAAAAGGGTACCTCAAAATGTTGTGATTGATTAACATAAACTGTTTACAGAGAGATATATCTCACTTTTTTGTAATTCTGATAGTATTACGCAAATGTTGAAATCAAAATATTTAAACATGTACACGATGCAAAACATTCAAATGAAATGAACTGTGACTTAAGGGGCAGGCCCAAGTAACCTCCATGAAAACGAGAAATGCCAATGCATATAAACTTCATACCAAATACCATTGACTTACCAGAAGTGGTTTACTTTAAACTAACATAAACACAAACTTGTTAACTATGCCAAAGTTTTAAGTCAATAAATCACGATGATGGGGCAGGGCAGTATAATCTACATGGAAATGACTTTAAGATCTACACAATACAGATTATGATCTTGTAATATTTATCCCCCTCCCTAATCATGCTAGATTTTCATCTGGGACTTTCAATATTCTGTATTGTAAGCTTACCTTGCAGCTCTAAGATACATCATCAAGTCCCCATCCACAACAAGCATAGGCCTCCATTTTGGGACCTCCCATGTCTCCATTTTTTCCGGCATCTGTGATGGTGGCACATTCTGCTGACAGACGGGTAAACGAGCCTGAAATAAAAAACAGAAAACATTTACATTTCTGTCCAGAAAAAAAAAACAACAATCACAATATGAACATTTTACCTCTTAAGTTCTTTAATCTCCCCTCACCCTCTAAACCTTGGTAAAATAAATGGGGAATGTGTCCATGGGACACAGATGATAACCCCGCTTGCATATAATGTTAAAAAGGGATATAACTCAAGAATGGAAAAGTGACGCTTCCCAAATTTGTACTTGATCTGAGTTTTGTGGTAATAAGCATTGTGTATAAGTTTCATAATATTTGGTTGAGGCAAACTTAAGTTAGAGAATGAAAAACGAAAAATTCAGCAATTTTTCCATTTATAAAGGGGCATAACTCTAGAACGGTATAAGTGACACCATCAAAATTCAAACTTGATCTGTGTTTTGAGGTAATAAGCATTGTGTGTATAAGATTTATAACATTTGGTTGAGCCAAACTTAAGTTAGAGAATGAAAACGAAAAATTCAGCAATTTTTCCATTTGTAAAGGAGCATAACTCTAGAAAGGTAAAAGTGACGCATCCCAAATTCCAACTTGATCTGTGTTTTGGGGTAATAAGCATTGTGTATAAGTTTCATAAAATTTGGTTGAGGCAAACTAAAGTTAGAGAACAGAAACCAATTTGGGGACGTACGGACAGTACAGACGGACAAGGGTAAAACTTAATGCCCCCTCTGCTACAGCGGGGGCATAAAAAAACACTGGATGTGAAAGTAAAGGTTTAAGAATTTCTACACACCCAGTTAAATCAATTTAAAATTTGTGCCATTTATCAAGTAATAGATTTTGTGACTATTTATGAATAATAAATATATATGCTGTAATCTCTGACTGAAAATACAATCTTCCAATAACTCTCCCACCATCATCTCAATCAACATAAGTGTTAAAATATTGTGTCACTTTAATAATCTTCTAGAGACATTTGCCAAAGATTTCCTTGTTGTATAAGTATGCAGTTGTTTTTTCCCTTTGCCTAGGGATTAACAGCTAATATTTAATTCACTTCTGCTTGTGCCAGTGGACATAAAATATCTGATTTACAGCTGTATTGTTGTATTATATTAATTTACTATCTCGTTACATAACTACTGTCTAAAGACAAACAGATATTAAGTATGTGTAAAAGGAGATATGAGTTGGGGTATACTTCTATGAGACAGCAACCCAATGATACTAAAAACACAACGACCCTAGATATCAACATTTAGCCTTAAATAAGACAAGTTGTACAGAATAAGTGTGTGTTTGAGAAGACTTTGGTTCTACTATTAGCCGTGTTACATATTCAAATAAAATGCTCCGCAGGGCGCAGCTTGATACGACCGCAGAGGTCGAACCCTGAACAGTTGGGGCAAGTATGGACACAATATTCAAGCTTGATACAGCTCTGAATTTGGATTGTGATTAAATATTTGACACAGCATAGGTTTCTGACACAGAATGAATGTGGTCTAAGAACTTAAAAATTTTAAATTGGACATTCACCTATTATGGTCCAATATCCAAAATCTAAATACATGGTTAGATTCAGCATATCAAAGAACCCCAAGAATTCAATTTTTGATGAAATCAAACAAAGTTTAATTTTGGACCCTTATGACCTCAATGTGGACAAAGTTGATAATGGGGACCAAAAATCAAAAATCTAAATGCATGGTTAGATTCAGCATATCAAAGAACCCCATATATTCAATTTTTGTTGAAATCAAACAAAGTTTAATTTTGGACCCCGATTTGGACCAACTTGAAAACTGGGCCCATAATCAAAAATCTAAATACATGTTTAGATTCAGCATATCAAAGAACCCTAAAAATTAAATTTTTGTTAAAATCAAACTAAGTTTAATTTTGGACCCTTTGGACCTTAATGTAGACCAATTTGAAAACGGAACCAAAAATTAAGAATCTAAATACCTGGTTAGATTCGGCATATCAAAGAACCCCAATAATTCAATTTTTGATGAAATCAAACAAAGTTAAATTTTGGACCCTTTGGACCTCAATGTGGACCAATTTAAAAACGGGGCCCAAAATCCAAAAACTTAATACACGATTAGATTCAGCATATTAAAGAACCCCAAGAATTCAAGAATAAAACCCCATTGAAATTGATCAAGAAATAAGCAATTTATACGAAGTATCTTCTTTTGCACAATACTGTGCAATTGAATATTTCTTGCTATTGCGCAATACTGTACAATTGACAATTTCTTGCTATTGCGCAATATTGTGCTATTGGATATTTCTTGCTATTGCGCAATACTGTGCAATTGAAGATTTCTTGTTATTGCGCAATACTGTGCAATTGAAGATTTCTTGCTATTGTGCAATACTGTGCAATTGAAAATTTCTTGCTATTGCACAATACTTATTATATAATAATTTACACATCCTGTTTGGTGTGTATCTCCTACCATATCATTATTATTTGCTTTTAAATATTAATCAGAAATAACCAACTTAAAATGGAAAATTTTAAAAGAAAAAAAAATGAAAAAAAGAAAAAAAAAAGAAAAAACAAAAATCCCCCCCCCCAAATTTTTTGAACCCCCTTATGATTCATCACCCCCAAACTCAATCCCAGCCTTCCCTTTGTGGTATGGTACCTTGCAGTACAATTTCAGAGAGATCCATACACTTGAACACAAGTTATTGTCTGGAAACTAGAAAAATGCTTATTTTTGGCCCCTTTTTGGCCCCTTTTTTGGCCCCCAATTCCTAAACGTTTCGGGCAATTACCCCCAAACTCAATTCCAGCTTTCCCTTTGTGATATGGAACCTTGTAGTACAATTTCAGAAATATCCAAACACTTACACACAAGTTATTGTCATGAAACTAGAAAAATGCTTGTTTTTTGCCCCTTTTTTGGCCCCTAATTCCTAAAATTTTGAGGCAATTACCCCCAAAATCAATTACAGCCTTCCCTTTGTGATAAGGAACCTTGTGGTACAATGTCAGAGAGATCCATACACTTACACACAAGTTATTGTCTGGAAGTTACAAAAATGCTTATTTTTGGCCCCTTTTTGGCCCCTAATTCCTTAACTGTTGGTACCATAACCCCCAAAATCAATCCCAACCTTCCTTTCGTGGTATTGAACCTTATGGTAAAATTTCATGGAGATCCATTCACATCAACTAAAGTTAGAGTGCGAAAACCAATGTGTCTTCGGACAACGACGACGCCAACGTCATACCAATATACGACCAAAAAATTTTTAATTTTTGCGGTCGTATAAAAATGTAAATACAATGTTACTACAAGCTTTCCTTCAATATTAACTTCTTGATGTCTTTTCGTGTTTTATTGTGTTGTTGGTATGCTGTCTCATTGACCTACTACTATAGGGGTGTTTAGCGACCTTGACTACCCATGAAGGTCTTAGACAGTCGGCCCATCATTGACCTATTCCCCAAATACCCTTTTATACATTTGTACTAAGTATTTAAATGTCATTAAACGATAATAAACTGCTCACCTATTGTAAGTTACCTGTCATTTGCACCTGACAAATGTAAATGTGATGATGTTGCTTGAATTTTGTGGAAGTAATTTACATCATTTTCACAATAACATCTTATTTTGTCTCCAACAGTTATGCACCGAATATCAAAATAATAACCAAAGACTAACACATCGGTATTTACTGCTTCTCCTTCGAACGCAGCATTAAGGAGTAAGAGCAAAGACTGGTCAGCTTAGAGTCAAAATAATGTGTCATGGTAGGGTGACATGTCTTCCTGCGGACTGGACTGTTACCTTGTGAACTAGCACGTTAAAAATCCCGTTCAGTATGGGGTTTAGTACAAAGCATGGTTTATATTCATATCATACTTACATGTTCTTGTCCTGAATATGCATTTAATTTGCCACTGGACTGTAATCAATCCATCAAAATAAAATCTTTAACCTGACCAACCTTTAATTTCAGATAATTTTTGTCTAATTTACCTGCCAACATCAAATTTCTTTTTAAATGTTAGTGGAAACTCATCTACATGTATATTTCATTGTCATTCTATCAACTTTATTTGGAAGACTGATCATAAAATTTGAAGATCTAAGGTTTTCTTTTTACAAAAAGCTTGTCTGATTAACCAAAGGATGAAAGCACACAGCTAGATGACCTTTGTGAACTTGTTTATGTATGTATGGAAGCAGAAAGCTGTTAACAAAATAATCAAATCCTCATAATTTTCTTATATCTTCTGGCAGCAAAAAATGTCATGATCCTTCGCTTTTAGAAAAGAAAAAAAAAATTGGTATAACGATGCCTCTCTTTCACCCAATAATAAGTTACAACTGCAAAGCATTTTTAAAAAGGTGATACTTTTAGAAGAAAAAATGTCAACCAAGGCTGAAGGCGGGGGTCTATAAACTGATATTGACTCTATCCATCTCATTACATAATTGTGTCAATAAAATATTTAATCAAATAAAATCAACATACACGATTGTCAATTGACAGGATAAAATTGTGTACATGCATTTAAATAAATTTTGTATCTGACAGTTTTAAAACAATAAATATGCCCTACTAGATATAGACTAATCCAAATTCGTAGAGCTGTAATCACAGAATTTAGCTTGTTAAATAGTAACTTTGTAATAGTTTTGTAAAATTTTGGAACACAAAAAGAAGAGATGCAAAGAGTAGTAAATTAGATACTTATTTCAAACTTAAAACTTGTTTTTCGAAAGAAATGTATCTATCTTTAAACAATTTTCAATTGAGAAGTGCCATATGTAAAATCAGAATCAGTGCACATGATCTCAAAATAGAAAGAGACAGGTATAAAACTTTATATATAGAAAGAGACCAAAGGCTTTGTAAGAAATGTACTCTAAATCTGGTTAAAGATGAACAACATTTTATTACTAGTTGTCCAGCATACAATAATGATAGGGAGATATTTTTCAAGGAGATAAACTGTATCTGTCCCAATTTTATATATCTTTCAAATGAGGCAAAATTTGTTTAGTTATTTACTAATGAAAATTTGTCTATACTTAAATATTTAGGGAGCTATATTATTACATGTCTAGATGTTAGACGAAATGTTAATTAATGTATGTAATAATAATGATAATTGTAATGATTTTATAGTTATGATCCTGCCTGGAATTAAATGTATGTGATTTTTTATAGAATGAAGATAATAACATCTGTCTGAACTTTTTAATGTTTCATTTTAATATATAAAAATGTTTTTCTGTTACAAATCATGATGTATTGTTTTATGTGTACATGTTATGCTGCCCATCAAGGGCCCTTGATTGAAATAATAAATATTCTTATTCTTATTCTTATAATAGTAAACATGTACTTTTGTTATTGGGTTGATGTCTCATTGAGATTTACTTCACATCTCCTTGTCATACTATTTCATTTCAGATTAACTATGAATATTGGAATTACATGCCGGTGAGATTACTACTTTTTTATACATCCTACATAGCAAACTCAGCAGCAATTAAAAAGGCTCTTGTAAGTGTAGAGAGCATGACATACTCCTCACACACTAATTTATTTAACATTCCTAATTATAGCAGACATAACTACATATATCTTTAGCAGTGTCAAACAGACTTTGAAGAACCTCTATCAACTGACCGCATATCTGTAAACAGTGGTAGCTAATCCCAAATTTTTACAAGGGCTCAAAATATTACTATTGAAATTTCTGAAAGGTCAAACTTAATTTTTACTTAAACATGATATATATCCATATATATCTATTTGAAATAACCTCAGATATGTGTTTCAAATTAACTTGAAATAAAGAAAAGGGATTTCGCGTCATGTCCTGTTGAAACTCCTTTTCAGAAATCACAATAATTATCTTGAATTTTGGTTGGTCATGTTGAAATTGCAATAACAAATGTGTGCAATTATTTCTTAATTTATAGTAATTTAGTCATAGGGATCTTTTCAATGCTTATTCCAGAGGGTCTACAGTAAAAAGTTAAGGGCCTCAGGTTTCCCTTTTTATCCAACCCCTTGCGAAAATACACACTTTCTTTTTATTTCTGGCCTCTGAACTTCAAATCTAAAAATAGGGAGATTTTGCCCAAAACCATCAGTCTGTTTAATTCTCTACACAATTTTGTGTTCACTTAAATGAATGAAATGGTAACAATTTATTTCCAAAATTACACCACAAATGTCATGAGGTTGCAAAACTGGATTTTAATAGAAATTGTGGTATTTAACACTGTTTAACAACAATCATAATTTAACTAAAAAAATATTAAAGTCTGTTCCAGACAGATTTACAGTGAATACCAATAATTCTACAGGTAAACAATATTCTACCTGTACAAGAAACGACTTCAAAGAAAATCAGGGTGTACAATAACTCATTCGTGAAGTTAAGGTGATCCTGGGTCACCCCAACAAGACAATATCCCTGAATGCAGACAATGACAGTGTCAAACTTAAGGCAGATCAGATAACCCAGGGGTGTCAGCAAGTTTTATACACAGTCAAACTTAATCCTATTATTTAATTTACTTAGTACAGTGTAATTAAATAGGTAAATTAATCATTTATTTATTGATTAGTTTTAAATACCTGTTAGTTTATACTGTATAGCAAGCCATTTTAATTGACTTCATTGGTGTAACAAAAGTATCGAATTCAAGCTTAGTTAGACAATGTTATCTCCAGAATGTGCAATATAGATATGGCCATACATAGTTATAATCTCTTGTTCAGATTGTGAGGGGGAAAAAAGCAACTTTTAAAAAATGATCCTTGAGATATATGATATTATTTTTTTTAATAATCTCTGTAAGTAATACTTCTTTAGTAAAGATAAAAATATACAGTATAAAATATTCATAAATGGAAATATACAATTCTCATTTGAAGGTCAAGAAACGAAAAACTTCATAGACAGAATAGACAGAAACTCAAGTAGATAGATTGTTCATCTGTTGATCTCAAGCAATATTGATAAAGCAGCAGCCTAACAATGCAAGTAAAAAAAAAAAAAAAAAAAACTTTAAAAAGTCCCTCAAACATCACCAGCAAAGACAAATTTAGACAATATTTTACCACATTTTCTCTTATCAGGTTAAATATCAATATACTTTGTGTCTTTAAAACCTGTTAAGTTGAAATTTCCTTTCGGCAGTGAAATCATTGCTGAAATGCACTGGATAATATATTTGTATAATTTAATACCAATAGCTAGACAACTATGTTATGTTGACAGTTCATATCTCCGAAGGTCTATGGACTCGATCAATAAGCCGGTAGCCAAAGAAATGTAGAAATCCATAAAGCCTAATACAAAGATCCTACTAAAACATGTCTTCTCTCTTAATGTCAATTTCACTGTAAAAAATTCCCAATTCATCACAGACAAAGACAATCTGTTTATTAAATGTCTATAAATTGATCAATATAAACCTTTAAATGGATTACAGCCATCATACCATAAACATTTAAAGCCACCACAAAAAGACGGAATTTTATTTCCATTGTAGCGATTTAAACAGCTGATGACTTCTGATTCCAGTTTTTACACTTGAGATGGTTGGGTATTATAAATATTTTATATTCGTTTTATACAATGTCAATAGAATGAACACAGAGCGATAAATTGTTTATTTATGACAAAATCAACATAACCGATGAAGTAAATTTCGTTAAAGTGTGAATAAAACCTTAACAACACTTGCCAAATATTTTTCCTTTTTTACATTCAATTTAAAGATCTGAAATTCTGATTGATATTTTAACTTTTTATAAATAAGGTGGTTTTAATTGATTATATACGCAAATAATAAAATCATGGACCGTGAAAATGAAATATAATCTCAATTTCTAATTCATCATAGACAATATTTCCTCACTAGAATATCACATGAAATGATTTTTCACACAAAATGCATTTAAAAACATTAGGTGAATTCATCTAATCTGAGCTTATAATCAAGTCACTTAAAATTTCAATTTAATTTGAAAATAATTTTAATCTTAACTGAATCTGGTGTTAACTTCGTGTGAATTTCATTCTAAACTTTAATACAGAATTTAAGTACAAATTTATTTAAATCCTGTATTAAAAGTTTCCGCATGAAATTCACATGAGGTTTGATTTTGGACCCTCCCTTGGATATCTATCTGTATACGATCTGCATTGTTCATTTAATTCAGAAGAAGAATACCACTTACATGATGGAAAAAGAGAGATGTGAGGTATACATTTATGAGACAGAAACCCAACAACACGAATAAAACACAAGACATCTAAATGTTTGATTATTGATTGCTTAATATCCAGCAGCAAATATTACAAACATAAACAGAATGACACCTTGTTATAAGCTATGAATAAACTCTATTGTGTTGTACACCTATAATTAGAGTCAGAGTTTTAACTTGCAAGATCACAAGGCAACAGTCCAAAGCCAGAAATATCACCTAACTCAGACTCCAAGCCAACCAGTCTTTTGCTCCTAAATGCTGAATGCTTGACAGAGAAGTGTCAAAAACAAATTTAGAAGAGTTTGGTTTGACTCAGCCACACATCTCCTCAACTAAAGGCATTTTGAACCCTTCAACAAAATATTATTTGATGCAAATATTCCAACTTGTCACTAATATATTTGGCTTGTGCATCAAAACAATATTCAAATTTACACCTCAAATTACATACCTGATGGCTCGACCCGACTCTGATTTCCCCCTGCGTGGTGGCCAGTCTTTTCGTCTTAGGATTATATTCTAACACATAGAAGTAATTGTCCTTGTCTACTCTAAAATCCTTCACTGAGTATATATCTGGGAAGTGCTGTACTCTACACTTTCCTCTACAATACAAAATTAAAACATAATTACTAAGAACTAAGAAACTAACTTTAATTCGTGGATACAATGGTATACAGAAAACATATAAAGACATTCAAAATTCAATTATCAATGATGAAACTGAAGACTTTCCTCAAAATGTAGTGAAATAGTCTAACAAATGTTTAACATTTTTCAATTTTTTCATCCTCTTGGTTTTTTAAGTTTTTAAGCTTGTAAGTGTATCCATTTCTGTGTGCATGTGTGGTAAACATTGTTTAAAATCAACTGTGCTGAGTTTATAGAAATCAAAAGTTAGATGGTAATTAACACCGTCCCATACAGGAAAAGAGCTGGTATGTGACAGACCAAAATGTCAAAGTTTATATTCTTTCTGTTTTTAAGCAACCAGTTTCACTAACTTGCACTCATGAAAACAATACAAATTTATTTTTCGAACTTTTAGTCATTCTAAGTCTTTATTTGTCCTTAAAAATGTAACAAAACATGAACTGCAAAGAAGCAAGCATAACATATTTTTTTTATTAGGAAATGCATTCATGCAGAAAAAAACTTATTCATATATGGCAATATTCTGCAAGGAGGCATACCTTAATAAATATTAATTTCAAAATCCATTAGGAGTTAAACCACTTTAACAGCTTTAAAATCACCCTGTATGACATTAAAGCTTGTTGCACTATTCAATAAACCTAACTTAAATATGCATTATACAATACTCCCAGGTGTGAAATTACAGGCTCCTGTGCGGCTCCTTTAAAAATCAATATACAGTACCAAGACCTATGTTTCTGTACAATCAATTCACAACGACATTCTGTCAGATAATTTTCAATGAGTATACCATATTATTATATCAATACGATATATATAGGAAATAAAAACATATTCTTGAGTAATTAGACTTCTACCGGCTTTTTAACACATTTAGATATCATACAAAAGTTGATGTTATCAGACGGCTAAATTAAATACCAATTTAAAACGGGCTGATGTATAAATCGATACTCAGTTGAAAGCAGTTATTAAAGGAATGTTAAAACCTAGAATTTGATTGAAATCTGAGGAAAAATCCTTAATTATTCACCAGGGAGATTTAATACACTAGAAATAAAATCTACTCAAATCTCCTTTCTCATGAGGGGAAATTATTCTGTTTATGAGATTTAAGCGAGCGTCTGCCAATAAATGGTTAGGCAGATGTGTTTTGTATAATATGCAGTGAACTTTAAGAGATATTATACAGCAATACGATGATGACCTAACATTGCAAAGGAAGATAGCAAAAGGATGTTATGATTAAGAAATTCTTTACAGCTAAATTAAACGCATCGATGTTTGTTTAATTACAACAGTTGCTAGTTTTATGTATAAAATATAAGACTGATCACTGATTTTTATAGTTTGTTCTGTTGTGCCGTTACACTATCATCCTAGGACTGTTAGGGGAGGGTTGAGTGTTCATCATATGTTGTGCTATTACACCACTGTCCCAGGTTAGGGGAAGGGTTGAGTGTTCATCATATGTTGTGCTATTACACCACTGTCCCAGGTAAGGGGAAGGGTTGAGCACCACAAACATGTTTAATCCAGCCATATTTCTAATGTGCCTGTCCCAGGCAGGTGCCATTTATTCAGTGGTTGTCATTGAAGGCTGTCTGTCATATTTATTTTTCCTTTATTGTTTTGTCATAAATCAGGCCATTTGGTTTTCTCTTTTGAATTGTTTCACATTTAATCATGCAGGGAGGTTTTTCAATTATTCTATATGGTATGGATTTTGCTTATTGTTGAAGGCCATACAGTCCCTTATACATGTTATAGATGTTTAAATTTTGTTTTTTGGTCTCTGATGGAAAGTATCATGTAACATCTCAAACTCCTTATTTATATCAAAATGGTCACAAAATGATAATTTTGTCTGAGCATTAAAAATCTGAATATGTCTATATAATTTGTTATTCAATTTATTTAAATGACTGTTTGCAATTTGAGCTTAGTAATTAGCTGTCCTCATGTAAATAATTTGATTGATAGCTGTTGTTTGAATTTTAATGCCTAGTAGCTAATATTTCATCCATAATCATGGAGGAGATGAAATTGTACAATTAAAATTAAAATTGCATTGGACTAAATCTACAGAAATGGGGCGAAATAAAGGGGAATAATGAGGACCTGGTAATAACAATACCCCAAAAAATTAGAAACAGCATTATGCGTACTATTCATAATAATTAATGTAAAGCCTAGTCACTTAACGAAAAATTTGAAAGATATATATTTTCTCAACTGTATACAATGTGTAGATGCAAGTGTCTTTATTGTTTTTGTTGCACTTAAGATTTTGATGTATGTTATCTTAAGTTAGGAAATAAATACTAACAATGTAAGGAGTTTCCTGCAAACATGCTGGGTTAAGTTTTTGATAAAAGTTAAATCTTAACATCTACTGAATACATAAAGTCAATTCAAGTATAAGTGCATTCTGGGTAGGTCATTTTTTGTTCACTATCGAGAATTGTCTGTTCTTTGACAGAAATTTGATATTTTGATGGCTGATGTTTACTCAACATTTAGTTGCAGATGTTTTGAACATATTCAGGAGGTAAAAGAAATAGCAATATAAATGAAAGATGTGTTAACTAGGAGGATACCTTGGGAAATTTTGACTGTCTGGAAAAAAAACAGGCATTTTGGGCAGGGTCGACATTATTGCCTTGCTATGGCAGCCATCTTACTCTCAAAACAACAGGGCACTATTTACATCCCCTTTCTTTCTAGACACTGACCTATTTTGATAAATACCAAGAACCACTTCCTATAAAAATGAGCTTTCCTGGTACAATATTAAACCTCCTTTGAATGAAGGAGCACCTCTTCAGTCCTACTTACTTTAATGCTTTAACTGGATAAGTATCTGTGGAATTGGAGATGAAGAGCTCTCGAGATCTAATCACAGGATCTTGTATAACAAGACTTCGACCACTATCTGTAAATATAAATACAAATGACATCAAGTTAGATTAAAAGCCTGGTACCAAAGAATAAATATCAAAATTATCTGTCAAAAATTTTCCCACTGCAAACATCTATCAGATAGATTAGTGGTTTAGCTGTTCAAATTATGGTAAAATTCTATTTAACAGAAATGATTAGGTTGTACCTATAGCAACCAACACATTCAAACATAAAATTTTGTGTAAAAGAGATCAAAGTAAGTTCATCAAACACATAGTTATGTGTAAAATAACTTAAAGCATGTTTATCAAAAACATGCAATCACATGCAATCACATGCAATCATGTGTGAAGTATATCAAACACTTTATTTTGTTTTAAATAAACTTTACAGCAAGTTTATGTCAAATAAATAAAGATTTGTAGAATAGCTTAAGGCATTAGTTCTTCAAATATGATTATGTTTAAAATAACTCAAAGAAAGTTAATTACATTTACAAGTATGATCTATCAAGTATTTCTACAGAGAGGTGATAAAGATAAAGATATTTCATTGGTTTAAAATACAAAATTGCAGGACTGTAACCAAAGTTGACAATAAACACTAGCATATAATACATAAACACACAATCACATATATGTATGTGATATGATTGCTAAAGAGACAATTATCCATCAAAGGACTGCTTTACAACCAACTGTTAAGTCCTACCTGTTAATAATTTCAACTACGATGCAATAACAGTTTATTTCTATACAAACATGATCAAGCATGGAACCATATTCAATCCATTTTGGGCCAAGTGATCTATCATTTTCAAGATTATAAAAAATTGTAAAAAATTTTAAGGTTTAATGTTGGCTACACTTTAGCCCAGATGGATTTTTCATCATCAATGGAAATGGGCACAAGGTTTAATGTTGGCTACACTTTAGCCCAGATGGATTTTTCATCAGCAATGGAAATGGGCACAGATTTGACAAAATTGTAGATGGTCCTCTTTTCCTACACATACAATACATTTACAAAATTTAAGGTTAAATTTTAGTGATATGAAAAAATCTATAGAGTTTAAGGAAAATTCTGATGATAATTTCGTAAACAATACAACACACTTAAAATTCTTTAATCATGTTTTTTTTTATTTCTGTTTTCAACTTTTATTCAATTTACTTACCTAGCTATGCCTATGTACATTGTACAACAATCCAGATTATAAATATGTTGATTTTTGTTTCACAAACCAAGTAAACAAAAGCATAATCCACAAAAATGTTTGTATATATACAATTAATTCCAGTCACTTACAATACAATCAATATATATATCTTTATTCTCACCAACTGTTATTAACTGTCATACAACACATTAAAGAACTTCATTTAGACTCATTAGTATCAATTCCCAATAAAATCACATTTTCAAACCAATAACTAATGGTATCCTAAATCAAAGCACAATGGACCAGCACGGACACGACATGTTATTTAATCCACCACGGAGGTTACAATGTAAACAATAATGGCTGTACTAACAGGTTCCTCACAAAGACATTCAAAAGATGTCCGTCAACTTTACAATAATGGCTATCTAGAGTTTGCAATTTTAAACGCAAAGGCTACAATAACTCCACCTTGCAACTTTAAACAGTTGGCAATACCGAAAATGTTACAATATTATCATAAAATAACTATCCCGTCTGAATATTGTCACACACACTAACATGCTGGCCTTTAATCCTAAAGACTTGTTCAATATCACGCTTCATAAAGCAACTCCTAAGATCTTAATCATAACATTATCACCCCTCGCCTTTAACCATAAAAATCAACAATTTCTAAATACCTTTACAAAGTGGTTTTTAAATCAAGTTTTTAGTCTGTCTATAAAAACCTTTAAACATAAAGTTAACAAAAATGGGCTTGTCAATTTGATTTCCATTCAATTGTAAAGATTTGTTTAATTAAATCACTTCATACATGAAATATTAACAGTTTATAGTTTGCTCCATAACATTGTGGTTAATTTCCTGTGTTCTTCACTGAAACACACTTGTGTTGTGTAGTTTAAGTAATGACCCATATCACACCAGTAATTGTTGAGTAATTAATCTTTCTACCAGATCAGTGTCCAATAATCAATATGTAACTTAGATATTGTCAGGTTTGTCTTTCATCCATACATTGTCCTAATTAAGTCAGATTAAGATTATAATGACCAGTCAGATAACAGATAATCACAGTCCAGGCCAAATCAATAAGACTATAGTACTTTCAAAAATAGTTTCACTAAAAAACTACTGCTAAATTGTTCAAATTTAATAATAATTCCCCACAATATACATAGAAAAACAAAAGCTTGGGCGAGTAAGTAAACCACTTACTATATTGAAAACAATCTTTTTTTCAAACAATATTTCAGCGTTGCATTCCTTAAAATAAATAAATCTAATGTGTAGGATTAAAATAAAGCCCTCCTCCCATAACTCATTATTCATTTGTTATTTTTCTGATAATTTAATCTCATTCAAGGTTTTGATGGAAGTTATTTAACCTTCAACAGAATATTAAGGTTGTCTTAACAAAAGCACAGCCATGTGCTGTAAACAGCCCAGTCTCCACATTCAAGATAAAAATTATATCCCTGATTTGAATTCATATTTTATCATTTCAGCCTTCGGTGTGTTTTCAACCATTAGTGCGTAAATTAATTGGACTCTTCCTGCATTTCTGTTTTAGACATTAAAACATACATTTTGTTTCAATAAATGTGACAAACATCAAAGTAATTCTATAATAATAACTTAATGGGATTGCAGAAACAGATGAGTAGACACAAGTATTCTTCTATAATATTCATAGAGACAGCTAGAATTTAGCCATAATTATAATATCTATTTATTTTTCTAGTCTGCCATTAAATTACAATTGTACCAAATGAATAATGCAAGTCAGGAGTATCATCGTCTAACAAATATAATATGGATTTCAATACAGTGACTTTGTGGAAACAGAGGCATCATGAATGCATGAACAAGAAAGTAATTTCCAAAGGCTTGAACTTGACTGAAACATTATAATCTGTTATGGTCTGCTGCTATGAAAAGAAATTGGAGGAAGTACATACAAAAATGTTTTATTTCTACAGTATACAAATATCTTCAGCTTAATAGTCAAGTGAGGTCGGAAGTTAAAAAATTTACATACAGTACATAATTGCATAGATCCAAGTCGGATAGTAGGCAATCATACCACATCTACTTATTTGATATATAACAAAATTAAAAGGAATATGATGTTTCTCATCCTAATGCTCTTCATTGCAGAAAACCAGTACGATACTTCCCTCAAGAACAAGTAAATTCTAATATTAGAGTCAAATTCAGATTTCTATTAAATTCTAAGAATATCCATACCTATTCTAACAATGCTTGACCATTTGTGTTGCTTTGTTTTACTTATAAATGTATCAAGCACAAAAAAGTTTACCTTGGAGAAGCATTAATTCAATATGAAAATGTTGAGGTAAGATTGCAGAGTACAAAGAGCCTTTTCTATTTTCAATTCAAGTTGGGTGATATCAAACGTATTTCATTTCTCCACTTGAATTTGCAGAATTAAATTATGAATCTTTAATGAACAGTTTTGGTTTAAAAATATCCCTTTGTTATGGCTTTGTACATATATCCATGAAATGTAGGTGAATTCAGTCATTTATTATTTCAATAAAAAGTTTAGCATGTTTGCAATTTGATAGCTGGTACAAATTGTAAATGATAAAGAGAAAAACCCTTCCTCAAAAACATTTATCATTATAAAAACCTTTAATGAGCTACTTTAAACTGCATAAAATAATTGTTTTAACATCTCTGTGAAAAAAGAGTTAAGAATCCAGTTAATTGAAAATTAATTTACCCTGTAATACATTATTTATAGCTTATGTGAAATTATTCAACAGAAAATTAATAAGTGTTCTGCCATATTGATTTATAGTGTTTTTATATTACTAGTATACTATAGTAATTAAATAAATTATATACCTCTGAGCTGACCCAAATCTGTTCTTTGTTATTAATGCTGGGAGCTTTGTGGCCAGGCAGAATATTCAAATTTTAAATTCTTCAGTTGGATTCTGCCACATCTTTCACACAAGGCAAGCATGCTATTGGTCATAAGATCACTGAGGCCATTAATATTTATTATTTACAAAACCCTTAACAAGCTTACTTTTGTTCAATCTTGCATATGTAAGATATTATTTTTGAAAATGACCTTTTGTTTCATACAATTGTCTTCTTTGTAAAAGGTAGACTTACAGGTGTTTAATCTTTGAACATGTTTAATGTATTATTCTTATATTCTTCTGAAGTGAATGCCACAACACCTAATGGATTTTTGTAATAAATAAAGATTTCAATATTTGAATATTTTATTAATTATAAAGAAATTAATTTACATTTTATAAATGATATGATACCCATTTTATTCATACATGTGATGGTACAAGTATTGACAGATGTAAATGTCTCTCTTTGTAGTACTAGTAGGCAAAATTAGGAGTTAAAAATACTTCAACCAGATTTATGTTTAGTCCTGTATAAGGAAATTTGATTTAAAAGAAAAAATATGTATTTTTTTTCTGAAATTTGCATATCAACGAGACACTCAGCCAGTCCCAATATCCAATGAAAACCATAAAGGCAAATGTAGCATTGATTAACATGCTTCCAGCTAGAACTAACCTTAACTACCATAGACAGGGCTGTGAAACTAGAGGCTCTCAAGAGCCTGTGTCGCTCACCTGATTCTACTTTGGTTTTGGAAATCATGTAAAAATAGATTAAAATCATAACAGATACCCTAATAATGAGTGAGGCCAAATTTGGTTTAATATTGGTCCTGTAATTTAATAAAAAATCCTGGTGGCCATCTTGAACAGTAAATCGGCAACAAAGTAGCAACACTTAATCAGCACCTCATAAGAAACATTTATGCCATGTTTTGGTTTCATTCCATTCAGTGCACCTCTAGA